TTAATAACCACATTTCCTAAAAACGTGTGCTCTGACATCAACAAGGTGTTGTTTCACCACTCAGGAAGTTATTCCAAAAAAGAATGTACAAGTGGCAATTTCTACAGTAATAGATTTTGATGAATATTTTTTCCCAAGATGTTCTGCTGATGCTTGACATTGTGATGAATCATGCCAGATTACATCAATCATGTTGTGTCATTTAAAAAACAACAACCCCCAAACCACAGCGTGGTTGTTAAAGATGGAGTCGTAATGGGCTACAGTTAGGAGGTATCCATTTTTAGAAAGAAAATAATACTGCAAATACTTAATAATTGGTGCCTAAATGCCAAACTGAAAATTCTTCTAAATGCTGTTTGAAAGGCAGACATTAGAGAAGAGTTTCACAATTTAATTTTTAGCATAATACATATACTAAGGAAAAGTATAATCTTAAAATATTTTAAAGCATATTTATTATAAATCCACAAACTGTGATTGATCAAGACCATTCTCAAAAGATGGCTCAATTCTTCCAATTTGAACACAATTCTTAGCTTAGCATACAAGTGAGGTATAAAGAAACCTTCTCAGGTAGACATAAGCGTGTACCAAATACTGATTCATTTGAAGCAGATACAGCTAAAGCAGAGGAGGAAGGAACTATTCTAATAATTTCTATATACCCAAAAGCTTCTTTGGGAAGTTCATGTTACCATAACACATTTTGGGACTGTTTCTATAGGATCAATGGGTGTTTCTGCTTGTCTTTCTTTCAGTTGTTATTCAAGTCATTTTCTTCTTTTCTTGACTGGAACAGAAATAGAATGACATCTACTGCATATTTATTAAGATACAAAAAATGCCTCCTTTGACTTTTCATCTCCAAAAACATAATTCTCAAATTGTTTTAGCCCTAGAACTCTCTTGGAATAAAGTTTTATTATATAAAGTAGATTATTACTATACAGTCAAAGCAGATTAAGTTTAACATGACTGATTGACTACATTGATTAGCATCACTGGGGACATAAATATTGTCTTGTTTTAAAAATTTTAGTCTGTGAAAAGTTTTGAAAGTTTTATGAGTTAGCTTTCTGTTACTATTACAAACATTGAGACCAATAAGCTTATGAAGACGAAAGGTTTATTTTGGCTCACTCTTTTGTAGGTTTCATCTACCACTACATTGGCCTTATAGCTTTTAGGTCAGTGGTGAGGTAACTCATCATGGTGGCAACGTGAGACAAACTGTTCACCTCAAGGTTAGGACACAAAAAACAGGGAGACTAAGGGCTGAGTTCCAAATTTCTTCTTCAGTATAGAATCTGTTGTTAGTCTGTTTGGTTTCAAATTCTCACACGAATTACTACTTATAGATATTTGGCATCTCTCTCAAAGCCTCAGTTCTTCATCTGTAAAGTGGGAATATCACTAAGATATGCCAGCCACAGCTACTGTGAGGGCTGAAGGACGTAGCACATGGAGGCATTTCACACAGAGGCCTCTTTCTCAGCAAGTACCAATTGCAGTGAACACTCTGAGAACATGATAGTCTAAGGGAGTTTCTGAATGGCATGCTAAGTTTCTCAAAATTTAAGAATATAAGTAAATATTTTTCTAATGCTTAAAAATATTAACTAATATTAATCAGTTTTTATTGCAGAATCAAAACATATAAATAAGAATTAGTAATCTTATTCGCTACTTGCAGACATATTAGGTAGCAAGACAGTGCAGTTTGGCTGCAAGCCATGTTTAAGAACACCTCTGATTCTTCACACTTTTACCTTTAAGCACTAGGAAATATTTACTCTGCAAAAGAGTTTTTCTTTGTTATTTATCTCTTGCATCTTTGACCTTTGGATATTGGCTGGTACCTTTTGGATAAACTGGCCTGAAAATGAAAGTTGGGGGAACTAGAAATTCTTGAGGGGGAATTGTGGTCTTGGGCTTTTATAAAACTTTTCAAAGAAACTCACCAATTATTTACCACCTGTTCTTGGCGGCTTGCTTCATAAAACCTGGAGTATGCTAGGAGGATTGAGGCTCCTCATTTGCAAAGAGCTGCTTCTACTACCTAAGTTTTGTAACATGTGAGAGCAAGTCACATGGGAGGGAAAGAGAATGTGGACTGCTTTGATGACAGTTGGCCATCGCCAAGGAAACTGCTCCCTTGGTAACCATGGTCAGTACATCTGTCTAGTTGCATTTCTAAGACTCACACAGTCACTGGCATGGCAAATGTATTTTAAAACACAAACACATAGGAAAGAATGATTGAAACAGATAAAAAATAATGGAATTGATAAGGAATTCTTTGTTTTTATGGCAAAAGTTGTTAGGATGGAATTACAATGCTCAGTAGAACATCTCTAGGGATGATGACTCATAAATAGAAACCACAATGCCCCCAGTTTAGGCCAGCCTGTAAAACAAAACAAATGTAAACCAGATAATCATTGAGTTTGCTATTCACAATACACATGGATTTTAAGACTTTGTAAAAATGTTTGTAAGGGGCTTGTTTCAAACATTAAGCACCCCCAAGTAAGTTAAGCTAAACTTTACATAAATTTATCTACTTTAGAGATACAGACAAGAGTAGGAGAGATAATATTGAAACCCAGCTTGGGAAAGGGTAGAATATTAAGATCTATCAGAGACTAAGAAAAGCAACTTTCAAATAAAAATATGAGATGCTAGCAAAACATCTTTTTAAAAGAACATTTGATTGATTTACTGTAGACTGTAGTATGCTACCCAGGGAATGCCTACATTGTCTTATTACTGACTTTGAAAGGTTAGAAGGAGTTAAACTTTGACTTTAAAAGGTTTGAAAAAGAGGGACAAAGATTTTAATATATATTACCTACACAAATTTCATGGAAAGTTTGTGGTTTCTATAAAAATAAAATATAAATTATAATTAATGCAGTAAATCAAGTTTCACTGGAATTAGAACTCGGAGAGTTTATATCAGGAAGGAGAGTGTTCTTTCCAAATAAACATCTGTATGAATATAGAAGACTAATGAAAGAAAAGATATGTAGTATGATTTATATTGTATTCCAAAAGCAGCAGAAAGGATTAGACAATTGAGACAAGCTGTTGGGTTATGTTTTCAGATATACCTTAAATAATATATAGCATTTTTACAAATTCTCTGTGTGTTTTTTCATCTATCTTAACATAGAGCATCATAATATGCTTGCAGCGGTTGTGACAGAATTATCAGCACCTGTGCTTGCTCATGAAAATTGCTACAGTTGAGCAGTTTGGAAGAAAGTCCTAGAAATAATAGCAGAGCATTCTTTTAAGGATTCTAATGTTCAGGATGGCACAGAGGACAGGAGCATGTGGACAAACACAAACATCAACAACTGTGTCAAAAATGAATTCAGAAGGGTTGGACTATAAATGTGCAGAAATTTTGGGAACACTTTAACCAATTTATTTTACTTATGTTTTACTTTTTATGTTTGCACAAGTGTGAAATATGATAAAAAATATGTGTCTAAGTCTAAAACTGTTCTTTTGGTAAGTATAGAATAAAAATTTTAGGTGATAAGAAAGCATTACATTATAGCTTAAGCGGCACGCTTTTTCTTTCTGCGTGGTAAATTTTAAAAAATGGTGTGCCATGCAATTTACCGTATCTTAGATGCAGTGAAACACGGGACTATGTTTAGAGATCATCTTTTATTACCTCAGAAATGACGTAAAAGGGGAGCAAGGAAAGCTGAGATAGAATAACTAACTATGGCACACCCACCATCTCTTCTCCTGTTCCAAAATTGGAAGCACTGATAATGGAAGGTATTCAATGAGTTACTGACTAGTCAAGATAAAAGGACGAAGTTGGTAAGCAATTCTTTAAGGCAGAGCATACTATGATTAAATAAACTATTCAATCAATTTCATAGATGACCTTGGTGTTTAATCTTAGTCTGCCTCTGTCACTTAATCTGAAATCCAATTTAATGTTTGCTTTGTACAACAAAGAGCAAGGCAGGTTCACACTACATATTTTCTCAAAGGAAAAACTTAAATGAAAGGAGAAAAACTTTCCCAAATATTAAGGTTGATGTAGATGCATTAGGTATAGAAACACTAAATTTGGCAGTTCTATAGAGCAAGTTGATTTTTTCTCAGATAAATTATTCTTCGAGCAAATCTTCAATGTCAAGCATAAAATGGTACTTTTTCAATACTGCCAGACAGTTATTGTACACATTCTCTTTCGACTGATTCATCTATCAGGGTCTTTTTGTGCTTGTTGATTGAACAGTCAGTCCTACATGCATCCTATTTTCCTGATCTGTTTGACAGAATCTTAGGGAAACATTCAGGGAGAGCACCTTGCTTCCAATGTGACATCACTCTGCTTGAGATTCTGTGGCAATTCAGCAAGAGATAATACCAATTCCAACTTTATCGTGTAACTTCCATTTTGTGGAAAGCTATTTTCATGTTGGCACATTAACTAGCACAATATGAAAATGAAAAATCCTAAAAGGAATATAACAATCTGTATCCCCTCCAGCTGATTCTTCAAAGTTCATTTTCAAAATGCACTTGTTTTGAGATTCACTGGGGTAGGAAAACTGTATTTACCAAGCTGTGTAGCACATTCTTAGACAGACACAATAACACTAAATCAGTTCTCTAATGCTGGCACTTGCCTTACTGGAGAGTTTGGTTGTGTGGACTCTTCTCCTATCTCTACTGGTAATTTTTGAAGTATCCAGTGACTGCTGATAAATTTTACTTACTCTATCTAACTGCAAGATTAAAAAAAGAACTAAGGTATGTTAGGTATATGCATTGACAGCCCCACAATGAATGTAATCATTATGTAGTAAAAACACATACTAATAAAAATAAAAATTAAAAAACTACAGGTAGAACCAGGAAACTCACACTTTCCAGCCACCCTTGTAATCCTGTACAGTCATTTGACAATATTCTGGCCAATAGGATGTGGGAAGAAGTGATGTACCTCTTGCAGTCCTTACCATTTCCTTTCTTTGCTTACTGGATGGCACATCTAGAGCGACTTCTGGGGTTCAATGGAGGGATGTACAGCAGAAGGAAGAATCGTGGGTCCACATGTGACTGCAGAGCAGAGTGAGTGTTCAGTCCAATCCCAACAGGTACTAAGAAAGGAATGTTAAGTTTTGCTTTGTTGAACTGATAAACTACTGGAACTGTTTGTTTTAGCAACCAGGGTTACTTAACCTGATTAGTAATAATAGTAGAGTAGAGAAGCCCCCAACTACATTCCTTAGGACCTCCAACAAGGGCATAGAGACAATGCCTTTGTGACATATGAAAATATAACTTAAGGGTATCTGGGTATTTAGTTCCTCATTTTAGATGCAGTTTTGACTGCTATGTTCCAAGCACTGGGATAAGAAGCTACAACAATGAACTCAGTAAACACAATTGTTTCTCTCATAAAGTCTAAGAGAGAGATGTTATCCAACAGATCCATGTATAAATGTGAAACCCTAATGATGACCATTCCAGTGACACAGAGGATTATGGTCTTGTCAGACAGAAGCACCCATAAAGGAGGAGTCTACACTGAGGGAAGCAGATAGGCACTTACCACGTGGATGTCCGATGGTGAAAGATAAAATGACAGAGGGTCAGGATGGGTGGAGGAAAGACAGATGAGGGAAATTGGGTAAGATGATGCTAGATGGGAATGGGAGTAGGATTGCAGGGACCAAACTTGGTAAGTGCAAATATTTTGCTCTTCTTAAAACATTAAAGAGTCAGATTTGTCTCTTTACCTTTGAAAAATAGTGCTTTGGCTGGACTATAGGAGAGTGGATTGGATTTAGGTCCACTAAGAGAATATGTGATGATGTGAAAGTCGGATGACAAGATAGTTGTAGCCCAAGAAAACCTAAAAACAGTTCAGCACTGGAAAAAAATTTTGGAATTTGGCTAATCAATATTTTGATAAACTTTAGTAAGTTTTAATTTTGTGTTATTTTCTTTTACAACATGAATTACTGAGTAGTTCAATCAGATAAATTTGATGCAGGAGACACTGACCTTAGTATACCAAGGACATCCAAACTGAATGAAACTAACCACAACATGAAGCTGATTTAAGGGAGATTTTGTTATCTGTCATCCTAGCACCCAAGCCCCTTTGGCAACCTACAAGTCTCTCATCCTAGCCATCACCTAGGAGACTCTCCATCAGAGGTGCTGGGATTCCCCGACTCTCATTACCGGCAGTATACTATGGTGTCTTGATTTCTTCATAGAATTTATGAAAGATAATGCCTGCAACACACATGGAAAAGACCTTCCCTCAATTTCATCTGTTTAATATCTTGCTTTTCCCAAATTTTTGGTACTGATGGCCCTATTTCAAACTGTTTCCCAATTCTCAAGAGAATTATATGTTGATGTCTTGAATATTTTATACATTGTTTTTCTCACTGTAAACAGAAACCCTGCTACAGAGAGCTTCATTTATTTCTTTTTTCCACATATTTTTATTGGTTCATTTTGGCAGATTCATACATGCAGATGAGGTACTTGGATCATTTCCACTGTCTTTTCTCACCTTCCTTTCCCTGTTCTCCCCTCTAGTTTCACATTTTTGGGGTGGAGGATTTCAAAGTACATAATACATATTCTCATACCCAAAGGGTTATGATTCAGTAATCATACTGAGATGTTTTAAGTCTTTCTTTGGACGCAGTCTTGTTTCTTGTCTTTGTGATTGGTGCTGTGGAGCCCAGAAGTCTCACCCTCCCAACCACATAAGCATGAGTACAGGTTCATACTGGCCCTTTCTCTCCGTCCATGGGAGAAAGGGCTAGATACCCAGCCTTTTTCTCCTTCTCATTTTTACATACATTTTCACCTTCCTAGACGCAATTCCTACACAGAAAACTAAACAGGTACCCTGCACTGAGATGCTACTAAAAGGTATTTTCCCTGGAAGAACGTATGATGGATCCAGGTAGATATTTTCAAGGTACAGTTGTAGAGCTTCAAAATCAGGCTGCTAATTTGGCGATATTAACTTTTGAATCACTTGACTAGTCAGTTTAGGAAGCAACAATTCTCTTAAAACTCCTATAATTACATTTGGACAAGTTTGCGCGTAGGACCGCAAGTCCATCAGCTTATTATAACCATGGTGCATTTCACACACCATCTTCATTATCTTGTGCTAAAGATGAGCACACACACTCCTCTGTGGTAATTTTAGATTGGCCACCGACACACTCTACAGTGTTTATAAAGAAAACAAAACTTGGATGTTGGCCCTTTTAATTATAACTGGCAGAATCGCTACACCCCAAATCACATAATCTCTTCACCATATTATATCTCTGAAGACATCTGCTTGCAAAGCAGTAACAAGGAACTTGAATTCTAAAAACAAACTTTGTACTAGATTGATTGGTTTGGCGAGTCGCACTTCTAAAGTACTGACGGAATCTAAAAGATATATTCCTGAACTTCAAGGAAAGTTTAAAATACACTGTAATGGAACTATACCAAATTGTCCTGGGTCTAGATATTAAGATGGGAGAAACTGAGCTCTTGTTTTATTGCTAAGGAAAGTCCCCTGACCCAGTGGTTAGTGCCATAAATTGCACCAGGCATTTCTGCATTTTTCCAAAAAAAAAATCATGGAGCCACAATGCTTTGTGAAGTTCCATGCATAATTTCACCTGAGAAATGATTGTCATATAAAGTGTTATGTCCTAGGGGTTGTATATGACATTTTGAAAACAATTGAGAGTACCAGACATTCCATCAAAGAATGAAAGCTGATCTATGACAACATCTTGACTATTCATCAAGTATTTGTGTCTCTTCACCTGGATTTGGAACACAGGTGACTCAATCTTTGAGTAAGTACATATAATCACCATCACTTAAAATCTGGGCCAATTGCTTTCCGGGTTGCAAGAGCTCCTAAACTTGTGGTACCATGACACAGAAGATTAAATAGAATAATTATCGATTATCTGTGCTCTATAAATGAGTCAAAACCTTTCATAAGTAATTTTTCTTATGGATATTCAAATTAATGATCTGAAAAACATTGAATACAAAACCCTGAATTTGTTGCCAAAATAAAATTGCCTCCATCACATGCAGTCATGTAGTTCATAGGGAACCACCCTCCTTCCACAACTCTAGCCAAAGAGTCTGGTTTTCCTTCCCTAACACAGTGTTTTCTGGAGTCCAGGATGAGTTGTTAAACACTAGCAGGACTTATGGCAACTGCTGGGAAAGTGAAAGCAATCTCCTTGTGCTGCCCAAGTTCAACTGAAAACTGAACAAATGTTGACATTTAGAATGTCTAACTGAATGAATCTTTACTGCCCAGGTATTACTTTTATGTTAAGAATCTCTGTCCAGAGTTACTTACTTGGTGGTGAGATTTTGAGCATTAGCTGTTCTCTTAAGTGATTTTCCCTCTGATTTTAAAAATTACATTAATATATAAGTATACTATCTAAAATATGATTGCATGTATAATTTTTAAATGTTTTAAGTTTTCAAAAATATTCATGGATATTGATTGACTGATTTTTTGCTATTCAAACCCTAATTTTATTAGTCCAGAGTATTTTTTCCCAAACGTTTTTCTGAGAAGTGTAGAGCAACTGTTTGCCCAGAGCACCAAACGATTAGGTGGCTAAGGGTGAGGGAGTTTATAGATTCCAATGTTTCAACCATCAGCCTGATGTGAGTTATTCTGCCCATGCACACTGCTCTTGCAAACACACAAGTTGGAAGAGTTCATAATTTCGATGCACATTAAAAACTTCTCATTGTCTTCATATGTGCAGCATGTATGTAGATTCAGGAAATATTACGAGAACTAGCAAACTACTAGCATGATAGAAAATGTGAATGTAAAAAAATGATAACAGCACAGAGAATGATTTATCTTCTGGAGCTAATTCAGTGTTTCCATTTTGTGTGTTTATACTGCAGACATTTAACATGTTTTCTTTGTTCTTTTTCAGATAGGTTAAGCTAGGAAGACTTGGGCTGAGGACAATCAGAACTGACTAAAGAATGGGCAAGAGAAAACTGAGGCCGTCTCATGAGGATGCGTTCTAGAACGTTCTGTTAGCAGCCATGTATCTTTGGAGGAAGCCATGTTGTCTTAGGATTTCTGCAGAATACTGTGGGGCAAAGACTAGCAGGGGCTTCTAATTAGTAGAGATGTTTTAGTATATAGTAAATATTACTTTATTTTGGTTTTTTGTTTTAGACTGTGTGGCTTTCTACCCACAGATAGACATCCTGGTTTTAAGCTCTGGGACATTTTGATGCGAGTCTGTTATTCAGCATTAGTCTCCCAAGCTGTTTTTGTGGGACAGGTATAAAGAATTTCAGTTATCAAGAAAGGCTAATCTGCATGTGTGTATACACTGCAAAATACCTTGTCTCCAGTGTTCCTCTGCTAACCCTCCAGGCTCAGGCAATCTCGAAAAATCTGTGACTTTGGCACGGATCTCTCCAATGTGAAGGAAGAAAGCATGATTACTCTTTGAGTCTCATAGGAAATGTAAAGATGTAATTTCTGCAGTGAGTAATGGTACAAATAAAATTATGTTTATTATTTTATTCACAGCATTTAATTATAGAGTGAGATGGGTAGTCAGATAGTAAAACAGCTATAAACAAGGGAAAGGCTCCTCTGTTCTTTTTAAATGGATGCTCTAAGACAATTGGGAAGAACAGTAATAGGACACCCAGCTTATGTTTTCACAGCATAAGCATTCAGTTGGGGTTCATCATATAATGGACTGTCTCTTTGCAAGAACTTGACATTTGATAGGATTACCTTGGGCTTTTGGTCTGAGTCTCTGTTATGCCAGAGATCACCATCTTTTGATTTAAAGATACCAAACGTGAAACAATTCTTCAAAGAGTCAACCTGTGACTCATAACCAAATACCAAAAAGATTTGTCTACAGTTTGCTTTCTTACCTCACTGTTGTTAACTGAAATGATCAAATGACTAGTTTCCACTATAAACATCATGTATTTATTTTATAAAAAAGCTTGACGTTCTTCAGAGATGAAATCTAATAGCATCATAAATCTCTGAGGCAATTCTTTCTCCCTTAAGACTCACAGCGTTTACTGT